CTGAGTTGTCTCTCCTCACCTGTAACCCTGGGGCTGACTGCTCTTCTGTCCGGGTTCCTGGCTTTTATCCCCTTTCTCCTGCTCTTCCGGCCTGCTACTCTGGGCGGGCCTGAGTTGCCTCTCCTCACCTAATCCCTTCAGCTGATTGCTCTTATTTCTGGCTTCCTGGCTTTTAATCCCCTTTCTCCTGCTCTTCCCGCCTGCTACTTTGGGCGTCCTTGAGTTGTCTCTCCTCACCTGTAACCCTGGGGTTACACCAACCAGAGAAGGACTAAATTCAGGTATATGTCATGCAGCTGATGTTGTTAGCTGCCACTAAGTTGATCCCTGACTCAAGATGACCACATGAACACAGAGGAAAGGCTAGCTACCCTGTCCCCAGTCATCCCCGTGAATGGTTGTAGATTGGACTGTTGTGCTCCATAGAGTTTTCATTGGTTGATTTTTCAGAAGTAGATGCCAGAACTTTTTCCCCCATTCAAATGATATGTATTATTTAAAATGTAAATATAAATGAAGTGCTTTATTTGAGAGAACTTTGATAAAATAATACACAGTATGTGAACAGAAGGAAACCCAAGTCCCTCGGGACTGTGGGAGGAAACCAAGGTAAGAGGTTACTTAACAAGTAACTTTGGAACATATTATCACCTGATTCAATGGGGGGTGGAGAGAACATGTAGCAGGTTGATGGCCACAGTGAACATGGAATCTGAGGCCCAAACGGCTTTGCCTACCTTCACTGCTAAAAAAATAAGTGTTTGTGTTTTGGGAATGCTGAAATCAAAACAGCACGTGAAGCACTATAAAGCTTGCATTAATGTTTCTGTGGCACGTTGGCCTTCTGCTTATTTGCAGGGAGGTAATGGACATTCTGATGAGGCTGCCTTGATCCTTCATAGGAAAGGGTTTGATTGCCGGCTCCCTAGCAGAGACACTGGGCTGCTTTGTTCCACTACCCAGGGGAAGGTAAGTTGAAAAGTGATTTTTGTTTGTTGAGATAACATGCTTTGAAGTCCACACTTTCTGCAAATAATCCTGACAATAAGATGATGTTTCATTTCCTTTTCACTAGCTAATTTCCCTCAGCCTGCAAATTAGCTCAAGTCTCCCCATCTTAAGAAAACACTCTCTCAAGCTCTGTCTCTTTTCCTTGTCAGCATCAAAATACATAGCTTGAACAGGCCCATATGTGAAAACAATTCTTGCCTCATTTCCCAGGCCTTCCATGTCCAATCCTCTGAGCCTCTTCTCCCCACTTCTCACATTTCCTTCTTCCCTGGGCAATACCCACCCACATACTGTCTTGTTCAAGGAGGGCAAATCCAAGTCCTTCAGGGGCCAAGGCAAGTTTTGTAATAACTGAAATAGGGTGGATGTAGCAATTGGGGAGTGATCAGGAGAGTTGAGACTGTGCCCAGTGAGATAGTCAACCACAGCCAGTGAGGCAGCTATAATTAGCTATCTCTTCATGGGAAGTGCAGTTCTAGGTCTTCTGATTAATGCAGATTTGCATGTGAGCCAACAGCCCCTCAGGCTGGACACTGCTTACAGGCTGCCTATTTTTTATTTCTGTTCAAGTTCCCCTTTCTGGCAGTTCCATGAAGATTTCCTTGGAAGTAGTTGAATCTCCATTCTTCTGCCTCCGACTCAAAGTGACAGTAATTCAGAGAAGGCAGTCAGATTTGTCCTAGCATCAGGAAGATCTGCCTACTAGACAACTCAGCTGACCAGCTATCACCCAGAACCCCTCAGATATACTGTAGGCCAAGGCTCAACAGATTCACTTCCAACCCTACAAATGAGTACGGGCACAGGCTCTGAAAAGAAAAGAAGGAAAAAATCTGGTAGGGAGCCTAAATCTACTCATAAGTGTCTCTATTCTTTTACTCCACCCAGAATGGAGGAGGTGCTAAGAAAACACCGATAACTATTATTTTTTTCATTGTGTTTGTATTGTACCTTATTATTAATTGGCTTTGAGCATTTGTATTCTAACATTAAAACACCGATTTTTGTTTTAGTGGGGGTGGTGAAGTTCATAGAGCAAATTGGTTTTCCATTCAATAATTCACATGTTTTGTGACATTCATTACAATCTCCATAATGTAACAGCACTCTTCCCATTTCTTCCCTGTGTTTACTATTTCCCTTCACCCTTCTTCCCTGTCCCTTCCTGGCCCCTTTATTCCTGGTCAAATGCTGTCCTTTTGATCTCATATGGTTGATCATTCTAATGAGTGCATACTTTCCTGGTATTATTGTTCTCCTTATAGCCTTGTCTATTATTTGGCTGAAAGTTGAGCAACGGGTTGAGTTCATTTCCCAGCTTGAAGAGTATCTAAGAGCCAGTCTCAAGGGTTCCCCCAGTCTTCCTCAGACTAGTAATCCTGGACTTTTTTTATGATTTTGAGTTTTTTCCACATTTTTCTCCCACTCTATCCAGGACCTTGTGATCCCTTTCAAAGTGATCAGCAGCAGTAGCAGGGCACCATCTAGTTCTTCTGGTCTCAGGGTCACGGAGGCTGCAGTTCTCAGGATCTATTGGTCATTTGGACTAATTGTTGCCTTGCGTCTTTGATTTTTTTTTTTCCTCTCATCTTTACTCTGGCTATGAAGAGAGCAGTAGTTGCACGTTGGGTCGCTGCTCACACACTTTGAAGACCCTCAATCACTACTCACCAAATTAGGATGTATAAAATTGTCTGTGGACTTTGTTATGTCAGTTGACCTTAGTGTTCCCCAAACTATAGTCCTGAGCCCCCATGCCCAGCAACTCATTCTCTTCAACGTTATGACTTAGTTATGACTGAGAAATTTTCATAATTTTGCCCCTTGTATGTTCTCCTGTAAGGAGCTCTGGTGGCATAGTGCCTAAGGCAGTTGACTGCTAACCAGAAGGTTGGCAGTTCAAACCCATCAGCCACTCTGCAGAGGGAAGATGGGGCAGTCTACTTCCATAAAGATTTACCACCTCATAAACCCAGTGGGGATCACTATGAGTCAGAATCAACTTGATGGCAGTGAGTTTGGTTTTTTAGTTTGTTTGTTTATGTTCTACTATATTTATGGATATTTTGCAACACATGAATACATAGGTAAAGATATCCTCTGTCAAGCCTATATATATTCTTGAGTGTGGTTCCATTTGCCTTTCCACTCAATTCACTTTAAGTGTCTATTTATATATCCATTTAATAGATTATTGTTATTACTGTTATTGCAGGATTATGCATGTCATATTCACCTTTGTTGCCTTTAACTCTTGTGCTCCTCTCTGTCTTCCACTGCTTTGGTGGTTTTGTGCTGACCTCCTCCTTATTGTATATTGCCTTTTCCTTCACCCCAGTTAATATGTATCTACCTTCTAGTTGGTGATTTTCTCTCCCTTCCCCTCTCACCTCTGATAACTTCAAAGAATGATTCTTTCTGTGTGTAAATCTTTCCCTGAGTTTTTACAGTAGTAGTCTCATACAATCTTTGTCCTTTTATGATTGGCTAATTTCACTCACATAATGTCTTCTCACCAAACCAAACCAAACTCACTGCCATCAAGTAGATTCTGACTCATAGCCACACCCTTTGGATTTCCAAGGCAGTAAATCTTTATGGAAGTAGATTGCCTCATCTCCTTTCTGTGGAACAGCTGATGGGTTTGAACCGCCAGCCTTCTGGTTATAGCAGTGAAATGCTTTAGGCACTGTGTTCCTAGAGCTCTTTTATAATGTCTTCTAGGTCTATTCATATTATGAGGTGTTACACATATTTATGAAAGGAGCTCTGGTGGCGTAGTGCCTAAGGCATTTGACTGCTAACCAGAGGATTGACAGTTCAAACCCACCAGCCACTCTGTGGAAAGAAGACTGGGCAATCTAATTCCATAAAGATTTACTGCCTCAGAAACCCAAAGGGGGTCTCTATGGGTCTGAATTGACTCAATGGCACTGAGTTTGGTGGTTGTTTTTATTTTGACACAGATTTATCATTATTTTTTAATATTGCATAGTATTTCATTGTGTGTATGTATGATAGTATGTTTATCCATTTATCTATTGATGGTCACTTTAGGTTATTTCTGTCTTTTTGCTATTGTGAATAATGCTGCAATGAACATGTTATGTTATTGTTGTTATGTGCTGTCGAGTCGGCCCCGACTCATAGGCAATGAACGTAGGCATGCATATATCTGTTTGTGTCACCACTTTATTTCTCTAGGATATATACCTAGTAGTGGGATTGCTGGATCATATGGTATTTCTATTTCCAACTTCTCAAGGAAGCACTATACCATTTTCCACAGGGTTGTACCATTTTACATTCCTGCCAGCAGAATATGAGGATTCCAGTCTCTCCATACCCTTGCCAGCTTTGTTAATACCTGTTTTTTGAACTTTGCTATTAATGCTGGGTTAAGATGATGTCTCATTTTTGTTTTGATTTGCATCTTTCTAATGGCTAATGATCATGAGCATTTCTTTGTGCATTTGTTAGCTGCCTGGAAATCTTCTTTGGTGAAGTGCCTATTCATGCCCTCTGCTCTTTTTTAAATTGGATTGTTTCACTTTTTGTTGTTGAGGTGTTGAACTTTCTATAAATTTTTGAGATTATTACCTCGTCTTATATGTCATTGCCAATTTTTTTTTCCCTGTCCATAGGTTCTCTTCTTACTCTTTTGCCAGAGTCTTTGATGGACATAAATGTTTAATTTTTAGGAGGTCCGAGTCATCTCTATGTCTTCCACTATTTGTACATGTTTAGTTATGTTTGATCCATGACTTACCTGTCAGTTTGTCATACTGTGGTGGCTTGCATGTTGCTATGGGACTGGAAGCTATGCCACCAGTATTTCAAATACCATCAAGGTCATTCATGGTGGATAGGTTTCAGCAGAGCTTCCAGATTAAGACAGACTTGGAAGAAGGAAGGGACCATCTGCTTCTCAAAGAATTGGCCAGTGAAAACCTCATGAATAGCCCTGAAACAATGTCCAATATAGTGCTGGAAGATGAGCCCCTCAAGAATACAAGAAGGCACTCAGAATACAACTGGGGAAGAGCTGCCTCTTCAAAGTAGAGTCGACCTTAATGACTTGGATGGAGCAAAGCTTTTGGGACCTCCATTTGCTGATGTGGCATGACTCAAAATGAGAAAAAACAGCTGCAAACATCCATTAATAATTGGAACGTGGAATGTAAGAAGTATGAACCTAGGAAAATTGGAAGTTGTCAAAAATGAAATGGAATGCATAAAGATCGATATCCTAGGCATTAGTGAACTGAAATGGGTTGGTATTGGCCATTTTGAAACAGACAGTCATATGATCTACTATACTGGAAATGACAAATTGAAGAGGAATGGTTTGGTATTTATTGTCTCAAAGAATGTTTCAAGATCTACTCTGAAGTACAGTGCTGTGAGTGATAGGGTAATATCTATATGCCTACAAGGAAGACCAGTTATACTACTGTTATTCAAATTTATGCACCAACTACCAAAGCCAAAGATGAAGAAACTAAAGATTTTTACCAGCTTCTGAAATTGATCAAACATGCAATCAAGATGTGTTGATTATTACAGTGATTAGAGTGCAAAAGTTGAAAACAAAGAGGAATCACTGGTAGTTGAAAATATGGCCTTAGTGACAGAAGTGACACTGGAGAGCCCATGATATAATTTTGCAATATATAATATAATATAATTTTGCAAGACCAACAACATTGCAACATTGCAAATATAACATAAATGGTGGCTGTATACATGGACTTCACCAGACAGAGTACACAGGAATTAGATCAACTAAGTCTATGGAAAGAGGCAGTGTAGAAGCTCAATATCTTCAGCCAAAGCGAGGCCAGGAGCTGACTGTGGAACAGACCATCAAACTGCTCATAGGCAAGTTCAAGTTGAAGTTAAAGACAATTAAAACAAGTCCATGAGAGCAAAAATATGACCTTTATTATATCCTACCT